GAATTATAAAACTATTCGTTTTTTTTGTTAACTAGAAATATTTTTTCTATATATTTCCTCCCTTTAATGTATACTTTTTTGTTAGAGTAATGTAATGATCTAACTGCCATTAAAGCTTTTAATTGCGAAATTTACATACATATATTGCAACAAGTTGTTGATGTTCAACAGAAAAGGAGGATGTACTGGATGAAGAAATACCTGTTGAAAAAACTCAAATGAAGAACAGACGAAATACAATTGTATCCCCCCCAAAACTAGAAGAGATAGAACCTGATATACAACCTGGAGAAGGTTTGTTGTAAAACTGAAAAAAAGTAATAAGTAAGTAATGGTTTTCTTCAATTCAGAACGTGTCAGCGATGATAAAACTGAATATTATGAAAACAGTGACTCGGAGAATTACAATGAACCAAATTCTGCCAAAAAGAAGTATCAAGAATTACAAACAACTTATTCTAGAACATTGGATGACGACTTGGGTGTTAAAATTAACACACAAAAACCATGTTACGAAGATGAAGAAAATGAAGAAGAATGGGACGATGAAGAGGATGATGAAGAAGAAGAAGAAGATGAAGATGACGAGGATGGGTATGATATATATGACAATGACGACGACGATGAAGAATTACTAAAAAAACTTGAAGCTAAATATGGAAAGTTAAATAGCAAACAAAGCAACGAAGATTTAAATAAGGAAGAATCAGATGAAGATGAAGAAGATATAGACTACGAGGAAGATAGTGATGATGATGATCAAACAAACACTGGTCTTAAATTAGAAAAGAAATAGTGTTATGTTTTAATACACAGGGGCATTATGATCATGAAGAAATGATTTACTTATTTATCTATAACATTATTATTGTTTAATAAAATACTTATACTTATTATACATGATACAGAAGGTGTGAATTAAGTTTTATTATTACTATTATACTGTTCAAGTAGTGTTGATAAGAAAATTATAAATATTTTAAAAAGTACCTACTTGTATAAATTGCAGTCTTTTTTAATCTATTCTAACTTAGATGATGAATTAACAGAAGAGAAAGCGCAATCAGAAAGTTCAACAACTCCCAAAGAATACAATCTAAATGAAGAAAAGAGACAAGAAAGTGAATTTATTAATGTGATAGATATTACCCAGAAAGGAATCGGTGAGGAACAAAACTCAGTGAGCGACACTAAAGACGAATTATCTACTCAGGATGCTAGTAAAGACCTGGGTGAAGCTATTCATTATATACCAGACGTAAGAAATTTTGCAATAATTTTATATCCGTATAAATTTTACGTATTGTACTTTTATTAGGGCCATTGGTAGCTTTCAAAAATACCCATTAAAACGTTTTGTGAGGCGTTTTTTAAAAAATCGATATTATCCGTCTAAAAGTTAATTTGCGATTCTTTTTTTATTTTTGAACCGATAGGTATATAATTAAAATGAAATAGTTTATAATTAAAAATTTTGATAATTAAAAAACGTTAGAGCACGTACCTTTACTGCGAGTAAAAGTAGGTTGATTGATTTTTGTTTTTATTTTTTTAGTGTAATAGTTTTAATGGTATAAAAGTGGGAATTATTAATATGAAATTAAATAAGTTCGGCAATTTTCGTAGCGCTTCGAGGTAAGGGATCAACAAAATTCTGGCCACAATGTTAGGATGACTTTTAGTTATGTTAAAAGTAGATGGTTTAAAATAAGTCACAGTACTAGAAAAGCCTATTTTTATGACATATTCGCAACACGCACAAATACTGCCTCCAAATTAACATGTCAGGCGATGTACAAACACGAAAACGTAAAGAAAAAAAGAGAAAGAAAGGTAAGAGTGAACGTTAAATTATTGTTAAATACTTAAATTTCCATAATTTTGAATTAAATACGCTATGAACTTTATTCAAAAGATTTCATTGTCAAACAGATGTATAAATAGAACAAGTTTATAATTAGAAAATTTTGGCAGAGTTTTCTATCAAACTATAAAAAAAGAGGTAATTAATAACAACCGTCTTACTTATAGATGAATCAAACGATGAAAGTCAACATTTACAAAAATTACCAGCAAAAATACCACCAGCACCGACAGATGTAGCAATAAATGCAAATGTTCATAAAGATAGCGGTGGCGGTTTCTGCGCTAAGATAGTTTTCTTCATTCTTCTCACCGCTTTAGCAGTTCTAATTGGTCTAATTATTACGGAACATAGAGGACTGTCCGATGGTAGATCTTATTTAATTACATTTCTGTTCGTATTTAAATTAATGATCACCTATTTCAGTTGATAGCATTAAATCGGATTCAAAGTTTTCGCGAATTTTCGATAGCTGGATCGAAAAAAGCCCGTCAGATGAACATGACGATGATTCAGAAGATAAATCTGAAGAACAGTTGTATAGTCAAGAAGATAATATTAGCGAAGATGACGAAGTTTCTCAAGAAGACGCTGAGGACGAATTAGATAGTAATGAAGAAAATACTGAAGAGGATGAAGAAGAGAATAATGAAGAAGATAGTGAAAAAGTTGAAGAAGAAGAAGAAGAAGAAGAAGAAGAAGATGAAGATGAAGAAGTAGACCAAAAAACCGATGAAAATGAAGAAGAAGAAACAGACGAGAAAACTGATGAAGAGGAAGAGGAAGAAGACGAAGATCAAGAAAGAACTGAAGAAAACGAAGAAGAAATTGAAGAAATCGAAAACGAAAAAATAATCGATGGAAATAGAGATGTCAGTAATCAGGACGAAAAAGACGAAAACAGAAGTGATGAAGAAAATTCTAAGGATGATGAAGATGGTGATAGCGATGAAGAAGATGAAGACGATGAAATTGTAAAAAGGGACACAGATGATAAAGTAACCTCAAGTGAAAAATCGAAGATCGTAAGTAAGGAGGAAGATTCCTTGGAGGAAGAAAACAAAGATACAGAAAACGTAAGCAATTAAATGTCGTAGTTTTCCATCATAACGTAGTGTGAATTCTTAGTAATAATGTAGTTCTTCTTTTAATAAATTTTTTTGCAAAAACGATCATTTTAATCATAGGTCAGTAAAGAAATAAACGGAGAAGATTCTGAATCGGCTCAAACTGAGAAAAAGTCTTTAAAAGACATCATCAGCGCCTTACCAGTAGGTACTGCTTATGGTAAGTGTGTTGCATTTAAGTGTAGTAGATAATTAAATCGTAAACGTTGTTATACGATCATGTATAGATAATTATGATGTATTTATTTTACTATTATTTTTCACGACATAAGATAATTCATCATGATCATAATGCAAAAGCTAATAAGAAATATTATATATTTGAAAAAATTATCAAGTTTTTATATGTAAAAAGTGAAACAATTGTTCAAAAAATGTTAGATCGGGAAATGCATTTAGAATTTTTTTAATTCCGGTATTTGTTGCAGTAATGATTAAATTTGGTGTTGGAGCGGGAATTGTGGTTGTTGCATATGTAGTCCTAGTAAAGAAGTGGAAAAAGGGTCGGTATTAAAATATACAGCATGCGTTTTATTGTCTTATTATATTATGCCATTACATACTGTGGCTTCAAAGTCTATTTTATTTATATGCAATTAACTCCTTTATGCATTTCCTGATTATAGTTTGCTTTTGTGATTTATTAACACGCTTAATAATTTTTAAGTTTGCTATACATAGTTTTATTTTAATTATAAGAATTATAAAACTATTCGTTTTTTTTGTTAACTAGAAATATTTTTTCTATATATTTCCTCCCTTTAATGTATACTTTTTTGTTAGAGTAATGTAATGATCTAACTGCCATTAAAGCTTTTAATTGCGAAATTTACATACATATATTGCAACAAGTTGTTGATGTTCAACAGAAAAGGAGGATGTACTGGATGAAGAAATACCTGTTGAAAAAACTCAAATGAAGAACAGACGAAATACAATTGTATCCCCCCCAAAACTAGAAGAGATAGAACCTGATATACAACCTGGAGAAGGTTTGTTGTAAAACTGAAAAAAAGTAATAAGTAAGTAATGGTTTTCTTCAATTCAGAACGTGTCAGCGATGATAAAACTGAATATTATGAAAACAGTGACTCGGAGAATTACAATGAACCAAATTCTGCCAAAAAGAAGTATCAAGAATTACAAACAACTTATTCTAGAACATTGGATGACGACTTGGGTGTTAAAATTAACACACAAAAACCATGTTACGAAGATGAAGAAAATGAAGAAGAATGGGACGATGAAGAGGATGATGAAGAAGAAGAAGAAGATGAAGATGACGAGGATGGGTATGATATATATGACAATGACGACGACGATGAAGAATTACTAAAAAAACTTGAAGCTAAATATGGAAAGTTAAATAGCAAACAAAGCAACGAAGATTTAAATAAGGAAGAATCAGATGAAGATGAAGAAGATATAGACTACGAGGAAGATAGTGATGATGATGATCAAACAAACACTGGTCTTAAATTAGAAAAGAAATAGTGTTATGTTTTAATACACAGGGGCATTATGATCATGAAGAAATGATTTACTTATTTATCTATAACATTATTATTGTTTAATAAAATACTTATACTTATTATACATGATACAGAAGGTGTGAATTAAGTTTTATTATTACTATTATACTGTTCAAGTAGTGTTGATAAGAAAATTATAAATATTTTAAAAAGTACCTACTTGTATAAATTGCAGTCTTTTTTAATCTATTCTAACTTAGATGATGAATTAACAGAAGAGAAAGCGCAATCAGAAAGTTCAACAACTCCCAAAGAATACAATCTAAATGAAGAAAAGAGACAAGAAAGTGAATTTATTAATGTGATAGATATTACCCAGAAAGGAATCGGTGAGGAACAAAACTCAGTGAGCGACACTAAAGACGAATTATCTACTCAGGATGCTAGTAAAGACCTGGGTGAAGCTATTCATTATATACCAGACGTAAGAAATTTTGCAATAATTTTATATCCGTATAAATTTTACGTATTGTACTTTTATTAGGGCCATTGGTAGCTTTCAAAAATACCCATTAAAACGTTTTGTGAGGCGTTTTTACTAAATTTTTAAATAGATAGAAGGGAATGTTAAATAGCCTAACAAATTAAGACATTTGTTTTACTAAAAATACGTTATTGATTTCATTTATTGAGCTTTTTGAGTGTGATTTATATGTTTGTATTACTAACATGATAGGACCCGGCTTATGCATTACTTTTATTTACCAAACTCCTTGAGAAGAACCCATCCTCACTTAAAGCTTTATATGGAAAAGCTCAAGCATTGAACAGTTTGGCTGCGAAGAAGAAAAGCAATGCATTACTGGAGGAAGCCATTAGTACATACTTACTTGTTTTGCAATCTCAAAGGATTTCTAATGAAATGTATAAAGAAGTGGCTGAAAAATGCATAGATAGAATGAGATTTAGAGGTAAATATGTGTTTATTAGATTAATTTACCAGTTTATTTATATATAAGTAAATATTACAGGTTATTTTGGTAAAGCAATTTCGGTTCACAAAGCGTTGATTGATAAATTTCCTGATTCATTGGAATATAAATACCAATTAGTAATAACATATCTCACAATTAATAGGTAAAACACGTTATTATACGTTTCTATTTTTTTCTTATAGTAATAGCTTGTTATATTTTACAGAATAAAAGAAGCTCGTCAGCTACTCCAAAAAATATTAGCTATTTATCCTGATAACGGTTTTGCTTTAGTACATTACGGATTTATTTTAAAAACGGTAGATAATAATCTTAACAAATCAGTCGAATATCTTCGAAAAGGGATTTCTACCAAAGCTGAGGGTGTTATTGACGGGAGGTTTTATTTTCATTTGGGAGATGCATTAACTAAATTAGGAAGAATACATGAAGCCCAGCAGGTTGTTGCAAATATGATTTGAACAGACTTTATTTATTAAGTCTGTACATGTCACGCTAGGCTTTTTTCTTTTGCTGGATTTAGATATACTTATTTTTTTCAGGTTTATATAGAAGGTGTAGAGAATAAGCTGTTCCTATCAAAAAATCAGCGTTCTTTATATAATGTTGATCGGTTGAAAGCAAAACCGTTCTGGGATAAAAAGGAGACACCTTACATAGATTTCTTTAGCATCTTGGAGAAAAATTGGCAGAATATTCGCGACGAAGGAATGGCCCTTCTTAACGATGCCGGTTATTTCGAAGATGAATCAGAAAATCTACGAGACAAAGGTGAATGGAAACAACTCGAATTATTTGCAAGGGGTATTAAAAAAAAGAAGAATTGTCAAAGTTGTCCTCTTACTTGTTCCATTATTGAAAGACTTCATGATGCTCGATACTGTAGGAGGGGGCAGGTGAAGTTTAGCGTCATGCATCCAGGAACTCATGTATGGCCTCATTGCGGGCCAACTAACTGCCGATTAAGAGCACATTTAGGATTAAAAGTGCCTGACAACACATTCATTCGTGTGTGTGATGAAATAAGGTATGGAATTATAACAGATAACTACAATTTTTTAACAGAAATTGTGAACGGTTTGATAACATTACATACAATTTTTCAGCTTACAGTTACGTAAATAATTAGGCAGAAAACTATCATTACAATTATGAAATTAAATCTCCATCTTTTATAGGAAAATATTTAATATTGAAAAACCTCTAAAAGGGTTGTTATTTCAGGTCGTGGAATGAGGGGAAAATATTGATTTTTGACGATAGTTTTGAACATGAAGTGTGGCATAATGGTACCGAAATTAGATTGGTTTTGATTATTGATGTATGGCATCCGGAGCTTTCTGAACAAGAAAAACGTTCATTACCTGCCATATAATTTCTTTTTTATATTAAATATTTATTACTTTTAGAAAATATATTTAAAAAGTTCTTTTTTCTTTTGTTTATAATCAAAAGATTTTGGGCTCTATTTGAATCAAATGGAAAACTATCTACAACGTAAAATTATTAACTTTTTGTTTACGTCACTGACGTAGTCTATGCGAATAAGTTATACCCGAGAATTGTAGCACCGTTTTAAGTGTAGTCAATCAATGTGTACATACGTCTTTACTAAAGTTGTATACTGTTACCATACGTTCAGTATGTTGTCGAATAATTGATCCATACACAATCTCTCAATCACCTGCAATAGAAATTGAGCGTTATTTTTAATATAAAGTTAAAGAAGCCTTTTTAAGAATCCTCTCAAAAAACTTTGTTGAACACTACAGATGTAATTTGAAATAGAAAAAGTTAAAGTTACTAAATTACAATGCAAATTAAATAATATACAGCGGAAGAATTTGTTTATTGTAACAGTTGCTCAGTTAGTATTTTTATATTATAAGATACACTTCAGTGAATACTACTTTTTTTAAATAGAAATTAAACAAAAAAAAATTAACAGAACGAATATAATAGGAACATTAAGCAATAAACGTCTTATTAATTGAAAAAATACGATTAATCTATATTAAAAACTAGGTTGGTAAATCTACAGTAATAAGTCTTGATAATAAATATCACATTTTAAAGTTAAAAATAATAATTATGGTAAATCATACAAAAACGATACATGATAATAAAGTGCAGGTAATATTTGGGTTTTTACAGCAAGTTATTATGAAGTGTACACCAAAAATAAGTATTTTCTGTTATTAAAAAAATAATTAGGTACTATTCAAAACTATACAATCTAAA